ACGGTCCTACAAAGCCATCAGGGGCTTGCTGTTGACAAACCCTACAGAAACAGACCCAGTGCTAATATTTTAATAATAATCTTCATAATAATATCTTAATAATAATCTTACAGGTAAACAACCTGCAAAAATCAAAATGATCACAAGCCAGTATGTCTCTTATTATCACGAGGATCCAAAAGATTCCTAGTGTCCATGGAAACACTAATTTTCCATGACTGGCTTCATTAATTGAGGAAGGTGAATAAATCAGAGTACTGTCTGAAGTCAGAGACCACCCTTTCATTTGTTTAATTTCCATTCAAAACGGTAATTAAGTACATTTTAGTGCCAGAAAAAAGTAGAAAACATATTTAAAAGAAAATTACACAAAAGCCTTGACAACTAAATATAATATCATCCTTTTCAGTATTTAGAGTGTCCACACTTTGCCTTTATTACAGCTTCCACTCTTTTCACTTTGCCACTTTCAGTTTTTCAAAGAAATGCAAGTTTTGTTCCATGCTTCTTCCCAAATACAAATTTTGTCTCATCAGTCCATAAACCCTTACATTACATCTCTAATGTCCAGTTTTGGTGTTCTAGTGCAATTTTTTTTTAATAATAGTAGAATAAACTTTATTTATATAGCAAATTTCATACACTAAAATGCAGCTCTAAGTGTTTAATATAAAGCATAAAGTAAAAAAAATAAAAGCACCGGATATGTTTGTTTTCTTTTATCAGTAACGCCTCCTTGATAGCTGCACATCCTCTCAAACCCAAGGTGTTGAGTTGTCTTCTCACAGTGGGAGGATGAACAGAAACACTGCTCAAATCTCTCAAAGATGAAAGCTTTAAGTGCTGTTTATTTGGTGGTGACAGCTTTGGTGGCCTATCAGGTCTTGCATGGTTGTTAAGAGTCCCATTTTCTTTTTGTTTTAATGTTTTTTTGAAATCTAATTTAAAAAATCCTGTTGATGGACGGCGACCTGTCCAGAGTGTTTCCTGCCTTCCACCCAATGACCGCTGGGATAAGCTCCAGCACCCCCCTTGACCCATATGGATAAGCAGTTTAGAAAATGTGTGTGTTTTTTTTCAGTTAAGGTGAGTTTGGGTAGTTGATTGTTAGAAAGTTAGTGTCTCTTTACAAAGGGGAACATAAGGTTAGTGACTCTTTTGGGAGCAGCTTTTGTTGGGAGGACACAGCTGTAACTGGTTGGTTTTAAGACTGGAAGCATGGAAGAGTTAAATTGGTAGTAGAGTGCATTAAAGTAATGACATTATACTTAGTGTTTTTCTGTGTAATTGTCTATTAAATATATATTTCTGACAATGAAAACTTCATAACTAATATTTATTAATGAGCCATTTTGACTGGAAATTGAATAAACTAAAGAATGGTCTAAAGAGAGCACAGTATTCAACCACTATTTTTACAGTTATTAATTACACTCTTTCAGATGCCTGTTTCCATTTAATATTGAAATAAACTGTCATGGTGAACTTTATGCACTGAATTCTCTACAAAAAGTAAAACGGGAAAACTAAGGATTTTCTTATAAATCCTACAAAATTATTGCATAATAAGCAAGATTTTCTGAGAAGAAAATGTAATGTATATGTAAAGCTTAAATACATTAGATATAATAGAAAAGTGATATAATGACTATGAAGTAGATCAGTATGGTTTTGATGGTCTGTATAGACAGTGAACCAGTAATTGTTGTGGGTTATGCTAAAGTTGCAGTATCTGTAGACTTTCAGTATCTGTAGGCTCTCTAGATAGCAGCGCCCAACTGCAAATACATTGTAGTACTTCATGCCAATGATCACCTGTAGTTGCATACAGTAAAGTATCTTTCCTTTGTGGCAGTGACCATTTGGTGCAATCCCAAGAATATGTCCAGTTTACTATAATTTCACACTTCCTGTACTCTTAGCTGTAAAAAAAACATTCCTATGATTTCAATGCTGTTTCTTACAGTACAATGCTGCATATTTACAGTACTTTACTGGCATCTAAGCTGCTAGGAACCTATTGCAATTTTTTTCCACAGTGTTGTTTCCACCTGTGAATCTTACATTTAACTGTGCACATTGCATTTAAACTACACTACGAGTATATTCTCACAAGGAAAGTTTGTTCAACCTTAACCGTCACAGTTAGCGTCAGGGATAATCTATTGCTGCCTCAAGGCAATGAGGTCAGAGATGGCCATCCCAATGCTAATGTAGTACCATGCCACATCAAGATGAGTTAGCGCTCTATATTCTGGAGGGAAGGTCAAGTAGCCACCAGAAGGCCAATGGTACAGCATCTAAGAGAGGCTAATTCACTAAATAATGATCCTTAACTAATGCTAAGTCAGTTAGCCAGGGGAAATGTTTTTCATTAAAGACAATATGCTTTAAGCAATCACAGCCTTTCACGTTCCAAGGAACTAAAGCAACATAAAAGAAGGGGCAACGGCAGATCCTCCATGGATGTTTGAACACTGCCACTCAAGCAATGCTAATCCTTTTGCTAATCATGACTTTACTACATTAAGGAATTCTGGAAATGGTTCTTGCCTCTGTTCAGTTTAGTTACACTCAGCTGTTTTCTTGTCAGTATTAGACATCCTCTGCATATTTCCAGCTTTTAACTTGTCTTACATGTTAATTTAATGTGTTAAAGTAATCCGTTCTACCATCTTTCATAGTGGATTAAGATATTTGAGAGGAAGGCTGAATGATAAAGGTCAGTGAAGATGTATGTAACTGATACAGTATGCATAAAAACATGTTCTTTTAGACACTTCTTTCTTTTTGTCACTTTGTCTGATGATGCACTAGCAGAGATGGGCAATATGGCAATAATATAATATTGCGATACTTCATGAAAGTTTCATGATACACAATATGTCATGATATTTATTTTTCCAGACATCTGATCAGTTGGAACAGAGAAAAAAGAGCCAGTAGTGGTACATTTAAAAAATACTACCAAAAATTGTGAACACGATGATTTTATTCAATATTTTGCATGCTGTTTTCCACTAAATTCAGTAAAACTGGACAAATTCTGCTCTTTTTATTATGAAACACGCAGTCAGTCAGTGTTCTACAGGTACTGACAATATCCATGATATATTCAGAAAAGGACATTGTATTGTATTTTGCTATAATTTATCAAGATATTGTTATATAGCCCAGCCCTAATATTTAATAAGACCTTGTAATACCATTTTCAGGTTAATGAAACAAACAAGTACAAATATTTATGTGTGCATTATATGAATGAGTTTAGAACTAAGGTGTTTTGTAACATTTCTGCATTCTTATTGTTTTGTAATAACATAAACAGTGTAGTCTCACGTAGTTTTGCTTCATGTATGCATTTCATCCTGAACAGATGGTGTGTCACTCACAGTTGGAGATCCTGAAGGTTTGCCATGGTAGCCATTTGACCTCTGTATTATTTGAGCTTTGGCCCTGAACTGGAACACAGCTCTGTGATGTGATTATATCAATCCCATAAACTTTTGATGAGGGTCTATCCTTCTAAAACTACTCCTGAAATCCGCTCTGGAGGAAACCATAAGCTAAATGTCTGAGCCATATTCACAGGGACAGAAAATGTGAATGGAGTTATAGGCCATCAGAGTCTCTGCAGTGAGGATCTAAAGAGGCCTTGGTAGAATATAAGGCTTCATAATGGCTCTGATTCACCTGGTCACAAAAGGGTCAGAGCACAAGTCTTATAAACAAGGTCTCCTATAATATTCTTTATATTTTATTCATTTATTTGTCTTATTCTTCCTATTTTTTCTGCTGTTATATTTCTTCTGACAAATGTTAGTGTTTGATATGGCACCTGCATATATGTAAATGTATTTGGAGGATTAAAGAGAAATCCATAGATTTAAATAAAAAAATGTAATAACTAAATTGATCAGATGTAAACAAAATCATTTAGAGTCGTTTAATCTTGAAAAGTTATCTAGTCAGTCTCTAAAAGCTACATCACACAGTAACAAACACATAACCTGATGCCTGAGACATTGTTTAACAATGGTTTTATAGATAAAGTTTTGGCTTAAAACATATTTTTTAAAATCATATGACGAAGAGGTACATGCAGGGTGATGTGAGACAAAATAGTCCCCAAAGATAACTTTTTCTCAGATTTTTCACTGTTTTATCATAATCAACATTACATATAAAGCCTTGGATGTCATGTGTAGGTTCACTGGTTGTTTTGGATGGTAAATAAATTGTCCATATTTGCATTGTAAACAATACAACACCTGGTTTCTATTACCACTACTGTAAAGAAGTTCAAGTCAGTAAGTTTCTCTACGTTGTTAATTACTGACAGTTTTTCACAATATTTAACGGATGTTTTCCACAGTAAAATACTGTATTCATCATTTCATTGTGAAATCAACTCATCTTAAAATATTTTTAAAAACAGTACAACAAAGTACTGTGCTAGTTAATGTTGAGCTGCCACTATTATATCTTGTTTTTATTCTGATGATTCAGGTTTTCATGTTCTAAAAGCTTTAAAGTTTTACACTGGAGTCTTTTATTTTATTTAAGCTTACTTAAATATATAGTAGTTGGTCGTTGGTTGCTCATCACAGTTATCTCGTAGTCCAGGTGACTGTGGAGTCACAGTAAACAGTTTCTATTTTACTGTTATTTATTGTTTATATGCAACAGTAAATTACTGTGAAAGTGAACTAGCACCCATTCATTTACGGTACTATTACAGTAATTTTTAGTTTTTTTACAGTGAGGTACGCATTTAAACGTTAATTTTATTTTGCTCAAATACTGCCCACTGCAGACTGTTATTCTAAGCCTTACCTGTGTGTATTGCTGCTGATGGACTCTACTGACCCTTGTCACACTCCACACCCCCTCCAGATAGTGCTGAGCATGGACAGGTAGCGGAGTGACCGTGGCAAGGCAAGTTGGCTTGATGCCCGTCCCAGCAGCTCCACTCTTGATCCAGCCCATTTCCCTGTGCTTCACTCCTGCTGCTGGCTCACCGTGAGACCTGGAGGGGTGTTGCCTGGCTGTGGAGAGGGGGCTCTGTTTCGGCCAGTCCCAGGAAGGGTGTGGAGAGAGCACGCTGTGGGCAGCCGAGTGCAGTGACAGGAGGCCAGAAAACTGTCCAGGCTGCAGGTCAGGCACGTCATTCAGCCCAAGCCCCAGAGCAGAGTGCAGGGCCAGACGCCTCAGTTGGTGCAGAGGAGTTCCACACACCTCACAGCAGCTCTCAGCACCACGACCCCGTGGAGGCCATTCCACTGCCTGGAGTTTATCAAGAAGCACGGCTGCAAAGCCTGGGTCCTGCAAAGGGGAAAGTAAAAAGTGTGATTCACAATGGCAAAGAATTAAATTGGAAGCCATGCTGACTCAATTTCTTTGCAAGCAATTAAACATCACTGTGCATGAGTGTACTCTCTGCATGACAATTACAGCTTTAATCACGCCTGAAATTTTTAATCAAACTCAAATATAGTCCAAGAACATTCTACCCTAGTTTGACCCACTGTAATTCACACTACCATCTAAACCTAACAGCAGTCCAACAAAATTCTGTCCAAACCCGACTATTATCATTATTAAGTCCCGTCAGTTTTTTCTGATTCCTGGCGACCACGGATAGTTTTTCTCAAGAATATCCTGTTTTTTGTTCCAACAGTGATTTTGCTTTTGCAGCTTTGAATTTTTTTTTCTCGTTTACCAATTTCAGCAACTAGACTTCCCTTTATCTAGCCACACGCTGTACTCAGCTCAGAATCCTCAGCTCTTCCTCAGTAAGGAGCTGAACGCCTTCAAACCTGAGGGTCTCATCTTCTGGTATCTCAACAATCATTCTGTTGTGTCTATCCATGTGGTTTTCTTGGTAAAGTAGGTGGTTTACCTTTGCCTTCTTCTGCACAGTTGAATTGATGTCATTGCTGTTGTCACCTCTGTGATCATCCACCAATGACATCGACCTTTATTGCTGTTGCCCAATAAAGGTGGTAGGTTTAGTCTGGCACCTCCGTTAAGACCTTTCTGCCATTGCAGACCCTGAAAGAGTTCAAACACGACTCTGTCTCACACTATTTGTCCAAACTTGACTGTAACCCAAGCAATTTGTTCAATCTTGATTGTGGCCCAACAAAATTCTGTCCAAACTGACTGTAGCTCAAACTATTTGTCCAAACTCGACTGTAGCCCAAACAATTTGTCCAAACCTGAATGTAGCTCAACAAAATTCTGCACAATATAGTAGTGTGTACTGGTCAGCGACTCAATGTGAGTGGACTCCTCCAACAGCCAATGAAAACTGAGAGCACAAAAGAAGAAAATGAAAAAAAACTGAAAGTGAAAAAAAGGTCATAAAACAATCATGACCCTCACTTAAATATGTTTAATAGTTGCTTTATACTGTGTCAGCACAAATAGTAGCGAAAACAGCAGCAGTAGCAAGCTGCTCCACATTTGTTTATTTGTGTTTCCTAGTAAAGGGAGAACACATGTTCACGCGAGTTCAGTGAGTCCGGGTCAATTCGGCAACAACTTAAAAGCTGAGCAGTGTGTGATCCCAAAGCATTAAGTGTGGGATCCCCAATATTTCAGTGACCCCAAAAAACTACAGACACCAGTGAGATAGTGTGAGATACCCAGTATTTTTATAATCTGTCCGGACTTGTAGTCATGTAGTGTATCCAAGGTATTAACCAGACTGTAATTTGTACCCAACAATAATCAGAGAAAATTCTGCCCAAACTTAATTGTAGCCCAGCAAAATTCTCTCAAAACCTGACCTGAACACAGAGGAACACTAACCTCATAGACCTAAGTGCCAACAACACAAGTGACTTCAGTGCACCACATTAAACACAATTCTAGGTAAATAAAAGTAGGGAGAAAGAATAACTAGAGAGAAAAAAAAAGCAGGCTAGGCAATTTGCAGCCATGTAGGCATTTGTAGGTCAACATCTGTTAAAGGTGGGAGACAGGCTATGAGAAACGCAAAAGGAAATTTGAAGCCAATCCACTCCTGATAAACACTGAAGAAACGGTGTTTGAATCTGACCAAGTTCTAATGTAAATATTGGGTCCCACCAGGATCTGACAAATGTTTTGATGTCTAAAGAGAATATGAATCTGAAAGCTGCTTTAGACTATCAGCTGCACTTGTGGACAATCATTCATTGCCATTGTTGTTGTTTAACTATTCTTTTAAATGAAGTAAGCACAATTTATCAGTGTCGCAATTCAGTACTAAAAATGTTCTAATGCTTTTTAGATACTGCAATAAGGTGACTGGCATTAAGGCATCACATACCATCTGGAAGCTGAGCATAGAGCGTTTTATAGTCAAGAGCTGCCAGACAAAAAAGGGATTTCCAAGCTTGTTTGAAGGTATATAGTATATTTAGATAGTGCTGTGCAGATATCCACAGAGACCTCTAGAGGCTTAAATTGATCCGAGTTTTGCAGAAGAGCAGATTTAAAGCTGAGAGACAGAGAGTGAGAGAGAGAAGAAATTGAGCAGCCATCACACAGACCCTCCAGTCAAGATTTCCACTATGAGCTCCTTCCCTTAATGAGAAAAGTCAGACAGCTATAAAAGTAAACACATATTTGTGTGAAGGCAGTGTGGAGAGATTGAGAGATATCCCATTCGCTCTCTTAAACTAGGCCACGAACATGTTCAATGGAGTGAAAACAGTCAAAACGGTATACTTACTAAGGCTATCAAATAACAAGAATAGACAGGGCAGAAGTGATTAAAACATTATCTAATACTTTCAGAGCACGTAAAGGTTGGATTTTTTCATTTAGAATCCATTTAAGGAGACTTATTATACAAGCTGGCCTGTTATTACATAAAATAGAAGACACTAACTGGGTAACATATTTTGTTGTATTTTTGCAGAACAGACGCTTTTCAGAATTAACTCTTAAGTGCATGGCTATTTCGCCAACTGTTGTTCGTACGTCTTTAGTGACAAAAAATGGGTACAAGTCAGTTAAAATCCTCCTTGACATCAAAAGCTTACTGCAGACCTTCAGTTCCCTCACAGCTGCACCATTCATATACATCCCTAATCACTTCCTGGACAATGATTTTGAGTATGATTTAGAGGTTGTAATAAACCTGTTTTCTCTTTCCTGCTGTTGCACCGCCAGACATAATGCTGGGGTAACCCTTGGGTTGCCTTCACTGCAGTGTTTTGTGTGCAGGAGTGCAGTGGGGGGTCAGGGAGTGAATCCTCCTCCTCTGTGTGATTGAGTGCTTTTGTCTGAGGCCAGAGGACCACTAGAAAGAGTTCGCTGCAGGGGGGCTCGGACTGAGCCGGCACGCCAGATGTCTGCAATCTGCTTCAAACGTACCGGCATGCGTGCATCACAACCTGTTCGAGCTGCATGTCCAGCCTGGCTGTTTCACACTAGACATGCTGCCCACTGAGCGTGTTTGGTAAGAATCAATACCTGCCAAGAAAGGGCTTTCAAAACTTCTATAATGGAGACAAGCTATAATGATACCATAAAGGGCCTCAGTAAAATGAATCAATGTATTTCCAAAATGCGGAGCTCATTTCAGATTTACATTAGTGACATGCATAGTAGAAGGGCCCAAAGGGACAAAGCAAAGAGCCATAAATGAGCCCATCTGTACTTAAAAATTCAAATGTGAATATTGTTTCTACATTAATATATATATATATATATATATATATATATATATATATATATGTATGTATATTATAGATTATTATAGATATATAATCTATTTCACCAACACAGCTAAAAGCCTAAGTGTGATTATTATTACATACAAAAAACAAATACATGTCAAGTTTATAAAACATATTTTACAGTCATCTTTCACACTGAGCCCAAAACTGATGGACTGCAATTTTTTTTAACAGAGCACAGCTCAATGTTTTGCATTATAAGGATCCATTAAAATCAGGCTCACCAATCAGAGCTCCTTTGTCATGGTTGCAGTTCAAACAAATGTACATCAAGTTGGCAGCACAACAGCTCATTTTGTGGGAGAGCACAAAAGCTTATACAACAAGCACCACTTTGGCTCTAAAAATGTAAATGTTAAGAATATATGTGGTGGACCACATTGCTGTAAGGCTGTGGAATCGTCAATACTACTTGAGCATTCTGTTTCTTTTTCTTCTTTATCTGTTTTCTTCCCGTATTGTTGAGCATTTAAAAAATGCACTTGATGTGAAGGTTCTACTGCATTTCACAAAAACTGTCTCCATCTTTTAGGCCTTTTGTCTTTCCGTTTACTCACTATTCACTGCTTGTGTTGATGTAATGCATTTAATTCACATAGAAATAATGAATATTATTTAAATTCAATACATTACTTGTGTCACTCTATATAACCCATATGTAGAGCAATGAGCATAAGACAAGTTAAAACTCTAAAGGTGGATCACTGGTTGCTTGTACATAGCTTTGAGGGGTAAATTAGGCTTTTATTATTGTAAACATTTACATATTACAGCAATAGGTGAATGGATTGGTAGGAGCCTTACTCAAGAAGTCTTATTAGTATAGCAGCAGCATTTCTGCCTGAATGAGGAACAAACCTCCAATCTTTTGTGTGTTGAGTGATGGCGCTATCCACTATGTTCTATTTATGTAAGCAGAAAAGAACGGACTGCCCAGCACTTGTACTACACAATGTCAGTGCATACGTGAACAGAACTATTATAATTATTAGTATTAATTCCAGTATTGGAATTCTTAATAATTCTTACTTAACAGCAAATAATATATCAGCTACAATATATCATGCACCTCTTATACAGATGCAGTGACATTTACAGCATGACAGCTGCAGAATGAAAAAAGAGCATCTGACTAGAACGCATATGCACAGACACAGAGCTTGTATAAGTCCATCCACCCATTGGGGGAACAAAGAATAGCCACTTGTACATCACTGGGCAGGCCTTCATGCTGCTTGCTTTGAATAAAGTTTAATAGCCAAGGTGTTGTCTGCTTCCCCAGCAGCATCTACTGGGTGTCTGGAGCTCTACAGGCAAACACTGAGAGGTCAGCAACCCATTACTCATGAGTCAGTAACTTTCAATAAGCCAGCTCCCCCAGAGGACCGCCCCAAGTGTGTCTTCATTGGTCTCTGCATTCTGATAGACAGGGGCATGGACAGCGAGGCACACTTTGAGTGTTTAAGTGTCCACCACCACATAGCAAATGTTGATATGTTATGCCACATGTGTACATCTTTCTTGATCTTAGCAATCTAAAATCCTGGAGGCAATATGACCGTCAAAGTCAAAACTCAAATTTCAGACTTC